TTTTTTTTTTTGAACTTCGCGTGTGGGAAAACTTACTTAATGAGGTGATAAGAGCAGCCCCGGTAAGTAGGCCCCTGCGTCGAAGGCTCCATCTATTGGTGGGGAGCTGCACCTGCTGGAAATCGGGTCCAGCGTCCCTATACAAGATATGATGTATATCAGCTGGAAATCGGGTCCAGCGCCCCTATTCAGTGATATGAGGAAATATCATTGTGATGTGTATGAGCTGGAATTCGGGACCAGCCTCCCTATAATGTGTTCGCACCTACATCTCAGAAAAGAGCCGAGGCATTGATTACTTCCCTGCATAAGGGAAGGATTGACCTGCAGCTCTAATGTACTCTAATTACCTTGTAGGGTGACGTGGCACAATTCCCTACCTCCAAGTGTAGCATGGTGTACCCGTGTACAAAAAAATGCACGTGAAAATGTTAAAAATGTAAAAAGCCATCTATCAAGGTAACAAACATATGCAAAATCAGGAGAGTCGAAAACTACTTCAGAAGACAGCATTTCTAGCGACCTCTCAACCATTACCTACCCCACCCACTGAGACAGCCCATGCCCCGTCGGCTGTATTCAATATGGGGCAATCAACCACCCAATCCCCTCGCGAGGCCAAAATTCGGAGCATGGACGAAAGTAAAGCCATGCTGACCTCGCGGGGTGGAAAAACGAAATTCGCCCAAACCTCCGCAAATTCCAACCGAGCTGCTTCCATGCTGACGAAGATCGAACGTTGCCGCCGTAGTAGACAACACAGTCCTTAGTGCTGGTGTCTGCGATCGCCATCGCCAGCCTGTCTGCCTCCTCACCCTCCGCACTCGAGTCGTTGTCGTTGTTGTTGTTGATGTTGTCATCGTTGTTGTTGTTGTTGTTGTTGTTGTTGTTGTTGTTGTTGTTGTTGTTGTTGATTATAGCGGATGTTGTATTCGCCAGTGCTGTCCGATCTGCCTCCTCAATCGCTACGTGCAAACCGCCGGCTGTCATGAGCGTCCTCCCTACAAACCTGTTGTTGTTGCTGTTGGTGTTGTTGTTGTTGTTGTTCTTGATTATAGCGGATGTTGTATTCGCCAGCGCTGTCCGATCTGCCTCCTCAATCGCTACGTGCAAACCGCTGGTCGTCATGAGCGTCCTCCCTACAAACCCTTCAGTGAGCAACCCCCCATCCCGCTCATCCAACCCGGAGGACCAAGCCTCCATTAATTCACACGCGTCCCGACCTTTGCGAAAAAGGGCTTTGCAGGCCGCCAGCTCGGCCTCTGCCCTCCTCCAATCAATGTAAGGTTCCAGCCGGGGATCTAGCCCCTCCTCCAGCTCCTCCAGCTCCCAGATTATATCGGACATGAGTTGCGAGCGGTGATCCACCCATTCGGCCAGGGGGAACGCACCCCCTTCAATCGCCCGCAGCTCCTGAGATCGCTGAGTCAGCTCACCCACCGTCTCCAGCAGCTGCTGATGGGCCACCGCCAAGATGTCAAGCCACACCGCCGTGTCTCGTTGTAGTATCCCCTCCGAATCCATCGCGCTTCTAATGAAGATAGTCAACAATTTTGTCGGCACTTCCCCTGTACACGCGTCGTCCTCCTTCGAAACAGCCACGTCACGCGCGACAATACTGCCACGTGTCGGGCGCGTCAACAGGCCCAGCAACCTGGGAGAGAAAAACCTCCCCAGATGCTGGTTGAGCCAGGTGCAACCGAGCCGCATCGGTTGGCTGGCGCAGGCTGCTAGCGCTAGCGCGATTGGGAATCGGGCGAAGATGAAGGCTGTGTATGCTCCGTGTATCTATGTATCAAGATGTACAGACAACACTATGTGTGGAAACTTGTGAATGTAGGCCATAGGCCATATATAATTCGCAAGCTATGTATATGCCTGAAGGCTGTGTGTGCTTTGTGAATCAATGTATAGAGATGTATAGGCAGCATCATGTGTGTATATCGAAGAGAGAACGGGGTAAGCTGGACAAGGACCCCCCCAAGATCCGAACCAAGCTCGAACCCGTGACCTTGTAACGTGTAATCGAATGACTCTACCATGTGAACCACTGGTGGAAATGGCACGAACGTGTGATATGCCAGATTGGGGAGATCAACAGAACACCAAGACGAACACCCCAAGCAACCCATGTGAAACCCAGAACCAACATACAACACCATGAACAACCCTTGGGTGGTGCGCAGGCAGTGTCTGAAATAGTTAACCTGCGTCATCCCAAGGGTGTGTCCTGCCGTGCGTCATTCTAACGCCCTGCCGGTGTCCATGCGCAAGGCTACGGATTTGAACCCGCAACCTCATACCGCAATGCACATTTCCAACCGGTGCTCTAACCACTGAGCTACATCAACAGGGCCGATTTGAGCTTTTGGGCATGGTGCAGGTCACACTGCTGTACCTTTTCAGATGGGACAAGGTAGCGGCAGTCTGGAGAAATGGGGATTTGGTACTTGGCTGGTTACAGGGCGCCATCCACAAATTGTGCAAGAACTTTTGTGAACGAATTTTTGCCAATTTTTGAAGAAGATGCAAAAAATGAAATAGGGCATTTGCGGTCACCTCCAGGGGCAGGGTTCCACTAGCACAAGAGTCATGGCATATTTGGACCTGTGCGGCACTGTAAGAAAAGGAAGAAAAGTAATTTTAAAGACTTGAAAAAAAGAAAAATGGCGACGTTGGATTCCCCAAGACGGGAAGGAGGCCAACCCCGCTCCCATCCTGGTCATATCCCAGGCCCCTGCCATCCCGCGCTCACTCTCTACCCCTAGAGCAGCTACGCCCTCCCCTTCCAAACCCGCCCCTGTTGCCATCTCTAGACCCTCACACCTATCTCATCCTGTTCCGTTTCGCCATACCCCCACCTGACCCTGACTTCCATTCCATAACTCCGAAACTTTTCTTGCCCCAGGCTACGATCCCACCTCCCCACCTCCTTGCCCTTCCTCTCCGACCCTGGCCTGCCGACTTTTGTTCGCTAGCTTCCCCCCCGGTCCCGTCCCGCCATTCCATCCCGCCATCCCAATCTGCACTTTGGCCTCCTATCCCGTCCCTTCACCCCCTGTCCCGACCCGCCATCCTGTCCCCATCCCTGACCGCTGTACCACTGACGGCCTAGCCTTTCTCCTACCCGGATCCACGAACCCCGACTCACCATCCCCATCTCCGTTCCCATCCCGATCTTCTCCCTCACCCCCTATCCAGATCCACCCGAGCCGCTATACCCACCCCTTACCATAGAACCAGTCCCCTCGACTCCCAATCGTCTGACCCCGTTCGCGCCGCCCCCGACCTGCCATCTCAATCCCGATTTTTGCCACCGATCCCATCCCGATCCACTTCTACCCCGATCCCGGTTCAGCATCCCGATCCCAATATGGGCTATTCTCTTGCCAAGTAGGATCGGACCCGTCATCCAATGGGATAGGACCCTCTGTCCCAACTCACCACCATCTAGAGAGGAAGATAGAGGGAGAGAAGGAAAGGGAGAAAGAGGGAGAAAGAGGGAGGGAGAGGGAGCAAGAGGGATCACGATACGGCAAGCGATGAAAGGAAAGAGCGAGGGCGTGTGAGAGAAAGGTAGGGAGAACGGGCGGAAGAGAGGCAAGGAGGAAAAGGGAGAGACAGTAGGATTGAAAGGAAGGGGAGAGCCTCCCGGCCAGTCAAGGAAAATAAGGGTGAAAAGTGGTCGTACGGCTAAGAGGAAAAGGCTCTCTCCCCTACCACGCCCCCACCCTGCGCAAGGCAGTAGTTTGGTTGTTGCAAAGGGAGGATCCAATACACGAACTCCAGGAGGTTGGCAAGGAGAGGGGACCATAGTCGGAGTCTACCTTCACCATGGCTTCGGGTAAGAGCACTAATTCAGGATACAAAGCTCAGAGGGCACACAGGAAACTGGAATCCACCCTATTGTATCGTGGGGCAATGAGGCAGCACGCGAACAAGCGTTTAGCTGTCGATAAACAGAAGGCAGCAGAGGACGCTTCCGAGAGGCAGACCACCCCCACCGAACAACAGCCAACAGGGACCGCCGACACCCAGCCCTCCACCTCCTCCGGGACAACCTACAACCCCCCCTCTCCCTCCTGGGCAGCTCATCTGCACAGACCATACGTCGGGCAATCGATTACAATGCAGCGGCATTCCAACGAGGGAGAAGGGCGGGAGTGGAAGATCCCCCTGGAGAACTTATCGTTCGCGGGCGCCTTTTTCCTATCCCGTCTCCTGACCCCATCGGAATCCCAGGTGATCAACCAAAAAGGGAAATCCACGTTGATTAAATCACTCCCGACAGAAAAAGTCCGGGAGAGGAATGAGTTGTACATAAAGCATGCCAGCAATTGGGTATTCCATGACGATGCTGCCTTCAAATCGACAAATGACAAGGTGGGATGGAGTCGGAAGTGACTTGCTTCTCTCAAAGGCATCATGGAGGAAGCACAAGGCCTCTTCCTACTCCAACCCATCTCCATGACCACGGTCACGGTCATTTGCAGATTTGAAGGGGACAAACAAGCCATGGACAGATGGAGATCAATCAGATGCAATAGGTCTGAAGTACGTACATACCCATGGGTGCCTCCGAAACAACAACGCCCTGAGGAAAAAAAAGAAAGAACGATGGCAGAAAACTTTTGGGTGGAATTTCGCCACATCCCTATCGAAATTCAGGCGGCGTTTGTCCAGGATTTTGGAGTAAAATATGATATCATTGACTTCATTGACCCATTGCCACCCCACGTGGCAAGAAGAGACGATTACTTGATGTTGGCAATCGACTTGCCAGAAGGGCACCCATTCTCGATTGATGATATAATCCCCTTCCGGGTGGGGGAAAGGGATTTCAAGTTACACACAACTCACAAACTACGTCCCTGGTGCTTCAAGTGCCAAGCCTATGGTCACTTATATACTGATCCCGTTTGTTCCCACCATCTAGTTAATCAAGTTAGGGCCAAAAGGCGCCTAATTCAGGACCTCTTTGGGAGCACGCACTGGCGCACAGTAGACCCGGGGCATGAAGGGTGGGTTTATGTTGACAAGGCTGACGAAGGAGGGGCTATCGTAGGATGGGTATGGGAGAGAATGGGGGACCCCAATTTGGAATCCAAACCTCCGCCCTCCTAGAGACCGCCAAAAACGGTGGAATCCCATCTACAGCCGCAGAAGATCGCACCCGCTCCTTCTGGGTCAGCCAAAGAGAAGAATTGGGCAGGTCAGGGGAGAGGAAAGCTTCGCCCGGTTCCGGAGGACTACCTGACTGATCAAGGGAGCCAACTGCTGCCAAAAACCCCGCCAAAAAGAAAACAAGAACCCCGCTCCAAAGATACACCAATGAATGAAGGGTTGGGCAACAACAAATTCGATGTGCTAGCTACAGAGACAAGAGAGACTGAGCAGGGAATAAGGCGAGCCAAGAAAGACAGCAAGCCCAACAAATCATTCCAAAGGACAGGCAACCTTCCAGTGACCAATCCTCCAATAAGAGCACGAGGGGCCCCTATGACAAGGGTGAGATGTATTCTGGAACAGGGTCTCCCGACCCATGTGCAATGGGAGGAGGTGCTCCAAAGACTATTCAGAATATCAGCAGCGCACTTCCAGCCTTCCAGGCACCGACAAAGAAGCCCCATGGTGAACATAGTCACCTCCCTGTCACATCCTTTTGTGGTCAACAGGGGGAGGATAGTTTGATTACCATAGAACAGTAGGGTGGGGAAGGGGAGGAGTCGGCGAGTGCCGAAGGCAAAAAGATGGATGTCAGTGATCAGGGGAATCCAGCCGCCCAGAGGGAACCCACCACAGAAGATTACTTGGAAGGGGCCTTCGGACCGCAGCCTATGGAGGTTGAGGAACCTCCAATGCCCCTCCCACCTCCCCCAGATGTGGCAGCGATGGACATTGACCAGGGGGAGGGTACGGGGGCTCCACCGGCCGATATGGATACAGAGCAGAAGCTTAGGATCATCGCGGAGTGGCTGATTGAGGGTTTTCAAGCCCAACACCCAGGTGGGACACAGGACTTCTGGGACTGCTCCTACACTCAATTGTTCACCATTCTAGACAAGAGCCCGACCTTGTGGAATGCACTCGAAGCCCCCCCCCCCCACACATTGCGTGGTCCAAGATTTTTCATCGGATCCACCACCTCACAGCCCAGCATTTCCACCCCCCGCCTCATAACCCATCATCTCCCGAAACCCCGAAAGAGAGTCAATCACTGGTCCCGGTCAACCTTCCACGTCACAAAAAACTCAGACACATGGTGGAGTCAGACCAATATCAAAAGAACCTGCTACAAAAAAAGGGTGTGGCAGTGATACCTCTGAGGTATGCAGACGATAGGATGGAGATTGGGCTCTCTCCTCTGCAAAGAGGGTTCACACTACCAGGATGGGGCTTCTATAATATCTGGTCCCTCCCCGGTCTGAGGGACAGCGATTTCAAAAAGAAAGCGGACCCATTCTTGCGCCAACCTTACCCGGCCGGGGTCCTGGCAACCCTCCCCAAATTTGACGGGTTGATGAGGGTAGCCACCACAGACCTATACGTTCTTTTCGAGGAGGACAAGGATTCTAATGGTTTAACCACGGAGCCCTG